AAAGGAGGAGAGGTTTATTTTGCCTCACAGTGTGTAAAGGTTTCAGCCCATTGTCTAGGAGCTCCAAGGCAGGATGGTATGGCACAGCAGCATGGCAAAGGGATGCTGCTTAAGCCATGGCAGACAGGAAGCAGACAGTGTTCAAGGGAGGAGCTGTGAAGGGAGATACAATCTTCCAGGTCATGCCCGCAGCAACCCATCTTTCCTACCAGGTGCTTCCTCCTATCAGGAATTCAGCTATAATGCCCCATTCTCCAATCACCTCCGAAAAGCCCCATCTATAAGTGTATGAGGCTTTGAGGGGACATCTAGATATAAACCCTAACATGCTGGGACAAGCATTTTCTAATAGTCTCCTGGCAGTACATGGGCCTCGGGATGATTTAACTGTGTTTTATGGGAAAGAGATTGAGAAAAAATAATTACCACAGATCCCATACATAGCAATGGAGAGCTTCTCTCCTAGGACTTGTCTGCTTCCACAGCTGGTTGCAGGATCCCCCATCCTAGAGGCAGGGCTGATTGTCGTGGGCACAGTCACTTATGTGTGCAAACAGACTGGCTCCGGGTTTGGGCCAGATGCCTCTTCTGAAGGAACTGATTGACTGGCTCCAAGCTGACGCAGCTACCAGAGGTCTCAGTTAATGACTTTTGAAAAACTGTTCTTCTTATAATAATAAAATAATCACTAGCATATGTGTTGTCTACTATGATCTAGCCATGTGCTAAGTGATACACCAATATTGTTTTATTTAACCTTCGAAAGTGTGTAATTATGACCTCCTTTTATAGATACATAATTATGGCCCTGTAGATACAGAGCCCAAAGGCTCACAGCTAATCTCGGTGGTAAATCTTGGGTTTTAAAAGCACTGTATTCAGGTTCCTGCCTCTTTACTTTTGACTCAAGCCGTATGCTGCTGTAGCATGAGACCACATGGACATAGGACTTCTAGAGGGCCAAAAAAAGTAAGCTTTTGGTCAGTATTTCAAGTCTGCCCAAGGAAACTTTGCAGCACACTGCCAGCCATTCAGATTGCCCAGCTCCTTGAATAGAGACTCTCTCTCCCATGTGTACAGTTCTGTGCCACCTACTCTTGTCACCTACTGGCCTGAGAAGGGCAGGGATTATGGTCCCCATTTTACAGGCAGAGAAACAGTCTCAAGTGGAGAACTGATCTCGCACAAGGATTTGGGTTTTCTCACTTTGTCCACCCCTCCTTAAAACACACTGCTTCTAACATATTAAATGCATTCAGCATGTCAATCTTTGGCATAGTTTTCAAGTCTCAAAGATTTCCCTTTTCCCTGCTGACTAGAGCAGTCAAAATGTGTCACCTCTTGCATTTTTGAGGTCCTCTTAGGGTAATGCCCACCACTTGTGACACAAATGCTTTTGAGCAAGGGAAGGTAGATATTTACTGAATGTGTATTACTCATTAATTCTCTAAACTCTAAGTTCCACAAGAATGAGAATTCTATCTTTTTTTTTTTTTTTGGTACCGGGGATTGAACTTGGGTCCTTGTGCTTGCGCAGCAGGCGGCGAAACCACTGAGCTAAATCCCCGGCCCTATCTTTTGTTTTAATTAAACTTTTTACTTGGAGTATTTCTATACTTACAAAAAAGTTGCGAACATAGTACAGAGCGATCCCGCGTAGAAGCTCCCCAGCTTTTTTAACAGTTCCCAGCTCACACCACCCTTTTTACTCCAGTGCCTACCCAGAACAGGGTCAGGCCCTATTACATGCGAGGCATACTCATCGAAATCAAGCTGCAAACTCCACGCTGTTATTTTCTCCATCTTCCCCCGTACCTAATATTAGGAAGTAAACCCAGCACTGAGCTACTGAGCTGGATTCCCAGCCCTGTTATCTTGTCTTTTGCTCTGAGACAGGGTCTCACTGAGTCACTAAGTCACCCAGGCTGGGCTCAAACTTGCCATCTTCCTGCTTCAGCTTCTCACAGAGCTGGGATGACAGACATGCACCACCGTACTTGATATTCTCCATCCTTTAAAGGAAGAATGAGGGCTCAAACCCTCGTTTGAGACAGCTCGCTCTGACTCCAAAGCTTGTTCATTTCTTCCAGTGTATCCTACTGCATCCTGTCAGAAAATACTCGGTTGGGGAGGGCTGAGGTCTCGCCCATGCAGCCTCTCCTTTGTGAGCCTCACAAGGCGCCTGCTGTCTTAGGCTGGGCTGTCCTCTTGGCCTGCGTTATGCCTGCATTGTGGAGCCACCTCAATCTCTCCTGTTCACCCTGGAGGTGAAGACAGGTCAGGGATGACTTAGCAGAACTGGCGTGAGCAGTTGCCGTCCCTTGACAGGGAAGGTGGGCAGCCTGCTGGCTGCAGCACAGCACATGTGTTCATCCTCCATATTTGGCCGGCCTGGCAGTTGTTTCTGAAATCCGACTCCTGGTGCCATGGGGATGACCTTTGCTCTACTTCCCAGCATTCACCTGCATTCACCCTGCTCCCGGGAAGCTCAGTAAGAGAGTGGACAGTGTGGGTAGACACGCTGGTCATGAGTTAGCCATGCTAATTCAGCATGCTTTAATTAATTTTACCGGCATGGTTAGAGAGATGCAGTGCATTTAAGAGGTAAGTAAAGTCAGTGAAAAATAATTTTTTAAATGGTGAGTGCTTTTGCTATTGACAGGGATTTTTCAGAACTGGAAAGTTGCTGTAACTGTTCAAATGTTGCTTTTAAGGATTAGGGCTTTAAAAAGAGCTCAAGACTCTGGAGTATTCAGACTCAAAAAAGACGTTTACCAAAGCAATAGCAGCAAAGAAAAGATTTGAAGGAGCAGTTGGGCAAGTGAATTTGTCATGTGAGAGTTGCTGATGGCTTTTCCAGCTGCTGCTATTTGGAAGTGTGAAGGGTAACTCTAGAAATGCATGCTGTTTGTAGTGATGCCTGTTAACGTAACAGGAATCCAGTAAGCAATAGGGCTCAGTACTGTTGCTAGGATAGGATACATGGAAGGGGGAATTCAAAGTCATGGTATGAAACAGTACAAATGTGAGGGCTCCCAGGGCTAAGTATGTGTCCCTCGATTTGCAGAAGTGGCTACCGGAAAAATTAGAGTAATTGATTTTTCATACATTCAGCATATATTTATAGACTGCCTCTTCCACGCCAGGTACTATTCTAGGATCAGTTCTGGCCATCACATTTGGGCTCTGGTGCACTTTATCCACAAATACGCAGTTGTTTTAGTTACTTGGAGCAGGGCACCAGGATAGCAGAAACGATAAAGCAACCATTTCCACTGTACGGTGCAGTAGCTCAAAGCAGGGCTCAAAAGTAGTGACTCTGGGGCCAGAACATCCAGGTCCGAATCCTAGATCCATCACTTCTAAGCTCTGTGACCTTGGGCACGAGACTTCTCTGTGCTCTTCTCTGTAAGTGGAGTAATAAGGATTACATCAATTTAAATATATAAAGTGCTCAAAAGAATAGCATTTGGCACGTAGAGAATGCTTGTCGTAATATATCTGCTATTACTGTGATAGCAGAAAGGGTGTATGTGTTGCATATTAATATTATTATGAAAAGAGCACTGGATTGCAAGGCAGAAGACCTGGGTAGAAGCCACCTAATAATCTTTGTTTCTCACCTGGGAAATGGAAAACATTGTTTTTCTTGCCTGTTCAGTAAACAGGGATTTCGTAAGAATAAGAGGGACATCAAAGCACTTTGTAAAAGGCAATGAAGGTGCCATTCATGGGGCTAGCTCTATTGCTTGCATTTATTTGTTTATTTATTTATGCGTGCTTGAAATTAAACTCAGGGCCTCACACATACTAAGCATGTGCTCTACTACTGAGCTATACCCCTAGCTCTGTGGCTTTTATGGTTAATTTTTGCAGTACTGATTAAACCCAGAGCCTTTCCATTGATTACAATCCCAGCCTTTTTTTTTTTTTTGGTACTGGGGATAGACCCAGCCCTTCTTTGTATTTTATATTTTGCAGCAGGGTCTCCCTATTTTGGGCTTGAATTTGCAGTCCTCCTGTCTTAGCCGCCCAGGATGCAAAGATTACAGGCATGCACTACCATGCCCAGTTTATATTTTGACTGTTCAGATCTATTTCTGCTGGAAAGAACTGGTATTGTACCTGCAGATTAGCCTTCTGGTAGGGGCTTGAGGAGAGAGGCTTGCCCTGTGTTCTTCTTCAGAGGCATTAGAGGCCTCATTACACTCCTTTGCTTGAGGAAATAGTTTTCCCCCTTTCGTTAGAGCGGAGATCTATCTCCTTACTCCATCTGTTGTTTTCATCTGTCTGGACTGTGCAATGTGTTAACATCTTTCCAGAATCACTTGAAAGAAGCCTTAATCGTGGAATCCAGAGCTGGAGATTCAGCTGTGAAATTATCTGCAGACCGCTCAGTGTGGATAATGTAGTGATTGGAACAGAGGCTTGGCTGCCAGTGTTAGTAGCTGAGGTTTGTCTGACATCAGACAAGCAGGAATTGGGTTTCAATTTTTAAAATTCAGGGCTCTGGTATAAAAAGACCACTGTATTTTTATACATTGTATTGAGATTCTTGAGTTATAGTACAATAGGAAAATCATGCATCAAAGGTAGCAATAGTTCACAGATGAGGGGTCAAGGGCATTTACAGAGTGAATGTAAGGTGATTTCAAGTGTTATCTTGATATTGCCCTCTAGGTCTGGTTGCCTTCTCAGAGGCACAGATGGAGGCTGAGGTCTACAGGTTGGGGAAGGGAATTCTCACTAAAGGAATCTTTCAACTGGCGTGGAGACTGTTACGGCTTGTATCTAGCCATCATCTTTTCTTTTTTTCTTTTGATACCGGGGATTGAACTCTGGACCTTCCATTTTCCAGGCAGGCGGTGGAACCACTGAGCTAAATCCCCACCCTAGCCATCATCTTGAATTTTGTAGCCAGTGGCCTATTGATAAATGTTTCTGTGTTTTCACAGATTTCCATCTAACTTCTTTCCCAATTTCTCTTTTTTCTGGTTCAGAGGACTTCATCAGCTCAGAGTCCAAGATCCATGCAGCCACCTGGGGAAAAGAAGCACGGAGATTCTCCCAGAAGCCCTGACGGTGGGGACTTGTCCAGGTAGGGAGCCGGCTAGGAGGGTGGACACAGCCCAAGGCATGGCCAGCTCACTGCCTGCTTCAGCATTTGCTTTGCTCGATTGGCTTGGGGAAATTTACCATTAAATACATGAGATGATTCTAAGTGTTGAGATGTTGAAGCAATGGTTCTTACCCCTCTGTGTGACTGACTAAGCTTGCAATGATTGGAAAATTCATAGGGTTTTTTTCTGCCCTAAGATTAAATTAGTAATTATAGACTTCCATTACAGCAGCACTCCAGACTGTTTAACTTCATAGTCAACTGAAAATGGGAAAGATCAAGGCTTCCAAGGGGCTTAATCTGAGGCCAAGTGGGGTGTGTGTTCCAGAGAGCAGGCTATGTTGGCACTGGACCGTGAAACAGAGGATTCAGACAGCAGTTCCTCAAGCCAAGGAGCCTGGTGGATTAATTCCAGAAGTCAACAAGACCACACGGTGGCAATGGAACATGGCCAGCACAGATGTGGCTCATTCATCAGTGGTTCCTCATTATGGTCCACAGCCAGGCCCTGGTTTCCTGCCATGGCTCCCTGCAGGAACTCTCTCCGCAGT